TAGGTTGAAATGTTTTTGCCATAGCTAATGTAAAACGTCGTAGAATGAGCCCTTTGCGCTCAAATAGTAAAACGAACAGATCCAAGGAGAAAATGCTATCACATCCACGCAATTGACGCGGTAGGTCTGAAAGAAAAATAATTGCGAAGCAATCGCCTTACTTTTCAAATGAAATTCATAACTTTTTTATCGATTACGTTTTGCGTGCTAGCATTTCTAAATTTAATTAACTACTTTCTGAGCGAAAAGCTGCAACTGTAACTTCACTTTCACTTCCAAAATAATCCACCCAAAGTACGCGATGCAGTGACGCTGTAATGCACATCAGTTCAAGTGATATAATTGAGTTCTGGCAGGTAATGGTATGTTTAATAAAGTGTCTCAGTCGGATTTCGCGTTAGCATTGTGGACCTAATCCAGTTGAAAATAAATGAACAGAGTGAAATTCGATATAAAATTTTCCTAGAACTTTGCAGAGAATTACGAGCAAGAGAGAACACGATGTTGATTTACTTCCTTCTCCTCTCGAGGGTGAGAGGAATACCACCGAGGCAGGGGGGAGAGGGGGGGGAGGGGGAACCTGCAAGCGCATTCCGTTTGGCCGAAAAAGCAGGTCCGGAGCGGTGCGCCCCTTACTGCCTCGGGTAACAGAACTATTGCCCTAGCGGGCACCCAACTCCAGAAGGAGAAAGAAAAACCCAAACAAGGAGGGGGGAAGAGAGAGAGAGATCAGGAAGCTTCCAGGTCTCAAAAATAAAGCAAACAGTGCGACTTCCTGGTCTGCGGGAGAAAAAGAAAACAAAACAAAGAAGGGCCTTTTGAGGTGCCGCCGGCCACGCCGTGGTCAGGTGTCACATTCGTCGTGATACGTGAGGTGCCTGGAAAACTACGCGGTGCACCTCGCGTTCATTATACGAATGTGGAACGCATCTCAGTTAGACCTTTTTTTTTTTTTATCTCTGCATATCGTTTTTCTTTTCCTTAGGAGGGCGCATATATACGGTAATTGTCATTACATTGCGGTCACTCTACCAAACCGGGAAAAATTGTGTTTTTTTTCTTCGGCTTATGTGTCTGCCCGGTCATATATTTTTATATTTTTTTGCTCACTTGCGGTTTTTGTTTCTTGTGTTATATTTGACGTTTTGCGCGTGTGGTGCATTTCTTATTCTGGTGTCTGCATATAAGGTTTTCTACTATTTTTTTTTTTTTTTTTTCTGCACGATTTCGACATTTCGCCGGTCTCAGTGGGACTTCAGCAGGTCATGTTTCTGCCTCCGCTGTTGCCGGTCTTCTCTTGTGTTACGTAACTTATGCTGCTCGGGGTTCTGGCAAATAATCTGACGCAAAAACTGTTTTTAAGTTACAACAATTCGCGCAATACCGCTGACAACTTTGGTTACCCTAATGACTATCGTCTCACCTTGAGATACCGCAATCAAGGCTGGGAGCATGAACCCCTTCCCCAAGGACAGAGCTCGACTGTGTGAGCCCTGGCGCAGCAGGAGCAACACAATTGGCACACCTCGCCAAAATTTGTATTTCAAAATATTTACATGAGATTGGGCACACGAACGAAGTTTCGCAAGAAGTTTCGCCAGAAGTTTTTTGTCAAAGTTTCTAGAGTTCAACTCGAAGGTAGTCAAATGTTAAAAATAAAGCAAAATCGGAGGTCTTGTATTTCCTATCAACTATATACGATGCCTTAAAATCATCTGGTGGTCTAGTTGGCTACACATCTTGGTAAAATTAGCACAAAGATAAGGGAGGAAGAACATAGAGACAGGACTGGCGTTTAATACTAAGTGAGATAAAGAAAAGAAGTACTGACGTTTGTTAGTACTTCTTCATGTGTATGTGTCAGTACTCAATGTCAGTACTTATTCTCTGTCTTTCTCTCACTTGGGATTAAACGCCAGTCCTGTCTCTACGTTCTTCCTCCCTTGTGTTTGTGCTACTGTTACTAAGATATATACCATGCCTGTTGGTCGTCTGCACGCCGGTTCATGAGCTGGGCTGACGGGTCGCTCGCTGAACGCAAAAACGCCAATAATATTAGATGCTGGCGATGAGCAAGATCATCGCGTTAATTCGCCTTTTGCAAGATCTGACTGACCGTGCGCCGCCTGCACTTGGAGGCCAACCATATTGTTTCTCGTCGCGTCCGTGAGATGGCGCCACAGCGCAACGCAAAAGGCGAATTGATTCGTGGAAATGGAGCGTGCTGGTTAAGTTACGGTTATTCTCCACAAACACCGAATTGATAGATTTACGAAATATATCAATAATAACCACAGGGCAGCGAACTCACAAATCAGTGTGCAGACAACGAACGCCTGGTATAGGGCTTAGGAAATATACGACATCTGTTTTTGCCTTATTTTTAATATCTTACTGCCTTCGAGTTGAGCTTTGAAAAAAAGAAAAAAAGACTACTTTTTGCGAAACTACGTTAAAGTGTCCAATTTCCGGTATGTACGTTTGGAATTCGAATTTTGCGAAGCGTGCGAAACATGTTGGTCCTGTCATAGGTAGGTTACTCATAAAATGTAAGAGTGTTACTGTTATGGTTACTCGGGCAAAAAAGTAACTGTGTTACAGTTACAGTTACTTCGCTAAAGTAACACCGTTACTTCACCGTTACTTTACAAAAAAAATATTAGAAAGCATTCAAAAGGAACCTTCCTCAATGTGCCTTTAAATTTGCATACATTTTTTATAAGACATTGTGTTGTTCATGGTAGTGAATATGATTATTTTGAGAAATTAAATTTTTTGTTGATAATCAAAATCAACATGTTTGGTTCTTCCTATTTAATTTTGATGCCATAAATAGCTCCTTGAACAAGATCAAAATTTAAGACAGTATCTGAATAAATCCACTATTTGATAAATCATGTAGAGTTTCTTCTTTAGCAAAATTAGAGGCGACTTGAGTTTTTCAAAATTTTAACATAGCAAATACCCAACCCCCCCCCCCCCTCCCCAATATGGTGGAAATTTGATGATTGATATCGTGGGTACTCTAGATGCCACGGGAAGAAGAACCCCCCCCCCCCCCCCCCCCTTCCAAGGTTTGGACACGATGAATTGAGTCCGCCCGATACAAAGGGAACAGCTGCAAGTTCATCGTCATCATCATCATCATAATCTTGGTCTATTGGCACGGGTAAACATCTGCCGAGGGATGTACGCGACGTCAACAGTGAGCGCGACACCCGCCTCGGTTCCGTGGGGAAGTATGTCAGCGCTACTGACCAACACACTGTTTACAAAACAAGACCGCGCTTGCCCACACCGGGTGTGGGCACTGCGCAGGCGCAGAAACCAGATTCGCGCGAGGCGAACCATCTACGCATGCCCTGTACCGACAGCAGCGCCACCGTAGTGGCGTGACGTCAGAGAGATGAGCTTCACCGTAAGACCGACCACAGCCCATGCTATTACCCGATGACGATAATCATGCAGCACCAAAAAACCGCAAAAATCAAAGCGCTGCTTTTTTTTTTTTCTTTTTTTTTTTTGGGGGGGGGGGGGGGGGGAGGGGAGTTGATATTGTTAATTAAATTATCTTGCACCGCGAGCAAAAATGTTGTGGCCACTTCCACGAGGTTCTGGTAGCTGCCATGAGCTTTTACATGACACTAACAATCATCATTAAAAAATATATTTTTTTTAAATTTTTTTTTTATTTATTTACAGAAGGACAATGAGAATTCTTTAAAACGAAACTGTGATACGACCAACTTTCGAGGGATTAGTAATTGTAATTGCTATTTTGCACTTACTGAGCATGAAATGAAAGTACAACAGGAATTACTTTTCGTCGAGAGTAATGAAGTGCAGATAGAAATAAAGAAAACAACAAAAAAAAAACATTAAATTGCAGAAGTAAAATTCCCAAGTATGCAGCATCGTACAGGGTGTGCCCTCCCTTCTTGCCACAAAAAAAAAAAAATACATTTCTTTTTTTACTACAAAAAAAAAAAAAGTGTTGCCGAACGTTTATTCGTTGCCCAAATGTAGCTCTAGCGGTGCGAAACAGATGCCGAAGTTTCAGAACTAACCGTTATCTTATTCAAGAATTATAAAAAAAAAAAAAATTAAAAATCTGAAATTTGATGAAAAAATGGCGGCCGATGGACCTCTCGAATGCATGCAGCTGAATGCATGCAGCCAGTTACCAAAAACTGGCGAAAACGGACTCTTTATCCCATTGGAACTTTCAGAACTGGGAAAACGGTTAATTCTGAAACTAGGGCATCTAGTTTAGACAGTTAGCGGGACATTTGGGCTGTGAACGAGCGTACGTTGATGCATAGCTTATTTTTGCGGTGAAAAAAACAACAAAAAACTGTAAAACGATATATATATATATATATATATATATATATATATATATATATATATATATATATATATATATTTTTTTTTTTTTTCTTTTACACGCATAGTTTGTTTTAATGCCGGCACTTTTTCTTCTATTGCGAGCAAACCACAGTATTTACCCCTAAGCTGACAGTGCAATGGAGGCCACGCATTCACTGGACCAGTCAAACATTTTTCTTTCGCCGTGTGACCACGCTCCAGGGAGCTGGGTTCAAGCATAGGTTAAAAGGGGGTAATTATAATGCCTTTGTCCCTCTTGTTCCCCTTCTCGAGGGATTATTTTCATCGGGGGGCCGGTTTATTTTAGGGGGGCCGGTTTATTGCACTCTCTCTCACCACGTCTCTCTCGCCTGAACAAAACAATTTATATTATTTGCTATCTGCGGCGCAAAGTATGCGGAAGTTTTATACAGACAGCGGTAAGGTTTTAGAAAACAAAAACAAAAATTGACGAGCACTTACATTTTTTAAAATCTAATCATTAGCATTTATTTTATTTATCTTTAGCGACGACAGCGCCACGAGTTCCCTAGCGGAAGTTTGTCGCATTTAGTCTTCCGATTAGGAGGCGCAGCGCACCACTAAATAACTCTACTAGCCGCCCCGCAGCGCCCTCCTCCGCGCTCGCCAAACTGGCAGGTTGTATCTTTGTATTGTGCATCTCGGTCGTCCGTCGGGATGCGATTGCTTGGCGTCGAGACCGTCGAGGCGTCTAGCGTCCTCACGACGCTCTGAAGCACGTCCGTACCGCCTCCCCGGACCCCACAACGCGCCGAACCCTGCCTCGGATACACCGTGATGCGACCGCCGACGACCCCCAGCGACGATGTTAGCCCTACGGAGCGTCCGACGCCGTAGGCCTGTCGAGTTGCCATGGGCTCCGCAATGGGCAAAGGAGCGTCCCTTCTCGACAGCCTCCCGCCGAACCAGTCCCTGCACGTCGTCATGCTGGGTCTCGACTCCGCCGGTAAGACGACCGCCCTGTACCGGCTCAAGTTCGACCAGTACCTGAACACGGTGCCCACGATCGGCTTCAACTGCGAGAAGATCAAAGGCACCTGCGGCAAAGCCAAAGGCACCAGTTTCCTGATCTGGGACGTCGGCGGCCAGGACAAGCTCCGGCCGCTGTGGCGGTCCTACACCCGCTGCACTGACGGGATCGTGTTTGTGCTGGACAGCGTCGACGAGGAACGGATGGAGGAAGCCCGCATGGAGTTGCTTCGAGTGGCCCGCGAGAATTCGGGCGTGCCTGTGCTCGTGCTGGCGAACAAGCAAGACCTCCCGGGAGCCAAGGAGCCCCGCGAGATCGAGCGTGTGTTGGGGCTGCACGAACTCGGCGCCGGACACCTCTGGCACGTGCAGCCCGCCTGCGCCATCATCGGCGAGGGTTTGGACGACGGACTAGAAGCTCTTTACGACATGATTGTCAAGCGAAAGCGACTCGCCAAGCAAGCCAAAAAGAAGAGGTAATTGCGGTAGGGCGAGGCGTCGCCGTGTGTGGTTCGGGATGTTCGATCCGCCTTCGACGTGTTTCGTTGAGCGACGTTTGATGGTGGTCGCCGGTAGCGTTTAGGGGGGTGCCCTGCCCGAAAATGTTTTCCGCGACACCGAGTTTCTTACGCACCGTTTTTTTCTTTTATGCGGGTCGTTAGTGAGACCGTAAGGACGTCAGGGCCCACGGTAACCTTCTATTTTTAGAGTTGCGGGGGCCGGTTAAGCCCGACGACACGGCTATCGAGGGCAGTGCGTCGCGTCATTTCGTCGTTGTGTCGAGCATTGTGTGACCGGCGCTCGTCCCCGCCACACGCCTCGGCGGCACCGCCACTGCCTCGCACAGGTGTAAAAAAGAGTCGCCCTCTTTTTTCTTTTCTTTTTGCGGTTTGTGTGTTTTGTTCGGTCTTCTGGAACGAGCTGTCGAAGCGCGTGACGTCATCAACGCGTCCGCGTGCGCATTTGGGAAAGAGGACGCGCGGGCGAAGGAACCGGTCCCGCAAACAGGCGCCATCTCCGAGCGTGAAAACTAACCTGACGCGTTTCGTTCACAATTGGCTTTATCGTGCGCGCAGGTAGATACGTCTTCCGGATGTTTATACCCTCAACAAACGCGCAGTCATTGACCTAAGTGTGTCGGGTATTTAAAAAAAGAGTGATGGAAAGTCTAGCTGGGCTTTTCCCTGAGTAACGAGATAAAACAAACCTGCTGATTTGCTCGGGCTTATTTCTTCAAGTTGTACTAGTTTTTTTTTTTTTTTTCGGCAGTTAAATAACAAAGTTACATAGCGAACAAATGGTGTCATGCCATCTTTGGTCATGCTGTGTCAGTAGTGAAGATGTCTGATTACATTTGGTGTATCGTCATTTCAGATCTGCGCACCATGACCAGTGTTTTGGGGTGCAGGCCTGGAACCAAAAAACATTAAATACCTATTTGACTCAGATGGCATAGGCAAAACCGGAATGAACGAGAATTACAGAGAGCAGGAAGGTCTACTTGGAATGAAGAGCGTGCTGGTAGGGGTAAAATATAGTTGTGCAACCACACATGTACTTGCTGCAGAGGCAGGATATCCAGTTACTACACTTGCACAGCTAGGTTCAGTGCCATTGCTGCTGTAGAATAAAGCTGCATTGCCGTGCTTGGTGAAAGCTTGCTCTTCAGATTGCAACATAATGCTAACCTTTGCCAATCGTTCTTGTTATTTTAATTTACAGGAGCCTGTTGTTTCCGCTAGGTTCAGTGTATGCACACATCTTGTTTTCGAAGTGAGTGGCTTGGGTAACTAATGTCACTGGAGGCTTGGAAAGTGACGTCAAGGTCCCCACACGTTCGACGTTTGGGCCCATGGGATGAATAATTTGCACCTTGACCTCTCCAGTTTGGATGCATTGAACCAAAATTGTGGCAACAGATTGTTTCACAGACATTCCTCGTGCACAAGACTTTTGTTAGATCTGAAACTGATTGCATTGTCAGCCTGCGTCCGACCTCACTTTTTCGCGGCATTCGGTTCATAGGAAATATTTTAAGCAGTCTGTTAGCAGACAATGTATGATGCTTTCCTGTTTTATTTCCGTCCGTGAATGGTGCTTCGTAGCAGCCGAACTGCCTTCTTCACTCGCTCTGCAAGAGGCAAATTACAATTTGCTCTCGCAGTGGCCAAAATCATGCCCCACGGGAGATAAGCCATGTTGACAAGTCGATTGAATATATAGTGGCAAAGACACTGCAATCTGAAAGGAACACTTTTAGTAGGATGATACAGCATCCCGATCTAGGCGCAGCTGGTTTGGAATGCACCCTCACGAAGCTATGAGGATTTTAAAGAACCAAGACGGCAATTTCCATGGCAGCAAATATCTTTCAACCACTCGCTTCGTGAGGTTTTTGTTTTCTATATGTTAGTATTGTTTGTGTCCCACTAGAAGGCAGCAAACACAATGGCACTACTTTCCCGGGATTCAATGACTTCATGGGCGATAGCCCCCTAAAGTGGAAGCTGTATTTATGCTCTCGTCGTCCAGATTCTGGCATCATAATTAGGGCTCCATATTTCCGGGGTTTATTTGCCTTCTAATTTGTGTGCGCTTTGTTAGGGCGTTTATTTTTACCTACACATTCAATGTTTTTTGGTATCTATCTTTGTTGTCTGATGAGCATTTGGTATTAATGGAGCTGGGCTTACGTTGAAAACTCGACACGGACGTGGGCTTTTCCAACACTCGGGGAGCACGTGCGTTACCCAAATACTTGAGAAACGTCATCCAGGTACCGATGGGGGAACAAAACAAAAAACCCAGATAACTGGTGTTTTTCCTGACGAAAAAACCCGCTCCCCAAACAGTCCAGAGTGGGCTGCATAACGAGTCTACACGAAATAAAGCTTTAGATAAATATTTCTTCCTGTAAACATTTTTTTTTTTATTTTTTTCATTCAAACACAGTTTTAGTTTGGGGTTTTTCGGTTTTCCCTGACTTTGATAAGGCCAGATGAGGGGATACCTTACAGGGTTTCTTGGGATAAACCAAAAACACAAGGACCCTAATGATAATGCACTGCGCCCGATGCATTGATTGGAAAGAGACACCGGGGCTAGTGTGCTGCTGCTAGGGATGTGAAGAAATAGGTACGTGTACACCTCTTTCACATGTTGAAAGAGATGTGCATACATTGTCTTGCTCCTGTTTTGTTATTCTTCATTTACACACACCTACTGCCATCAGCATGCTTTTCAGCTCATTGTGACAGTGCCACCTTTGCATATAGTGCCACCTTTGCACCTATGCCTTAGTAGGCCTTCTGGGCTGGCAGAATATTTTCATTATGTTTGTAAGTTTTTGTTTTATTTGTTTTTTTTTCGTTTAAAGCAGTGTTTGTAACCATTTGGAAAACAGTGTCGGCTGTTTGAAGCCCTTATGGAAGGAGAACACAGTCAGAATGTGTATTTGGAATAACATTCACATTTGTGCTCTGTCCAAGAACTCCAAAAGGTTTTGTAGTATAATAAGTAAATGAGGAGCTTGGACAATAATTTTGGAATGGAGTCCTCAAGGAGTTTGTATAGGTAGCTAGAGGAAGATCTGTACTGCATAGACCCCTTTGAAAATTATGCCTTCCAGTAGAACCGAAAATACTACACAGGGTTACTATGTCTATCCTTAACCAGCTCACCTGCCTAGTTACTTTAACTTCAGTGTTAAAGATGCCTTCGAGCTGGCAAGTCCACATCTTATAAAATGAACACTTCCATAACAATAACATGTGCATTTCCATAGCTACCAGTATGGGCTTATGAAAGTGCATGTTTAGCGGTATTGGCTTGCCCAGCTTGTTACACTGTTTTCGAAACCTTTAGGAGAAGCATGTGATTTTTTAAAGGGGTCAATGCCATGTAGGGGTGAGTTTACAATTGACATGTTGTGTTAGTATGGAACCGGAATCTGCTGACCGTTTGACTATCTTCGACAGCTCGTTCCTTGTAGCCTTTGCTTGTATGTTTGTTTGACGTCGACTACCGACTGTTTGTGCTTGGTTCTGTAGAATCTCTCCTGTGTGTACTGCAGAGGCAGACAACCTAGTCACACTCAGACGAGTTCCCCCTCCTAGAGACACAAGCTAGTCTGTTTGGCTTTCCACGAGTTCCTCCTGTCGACGACTAACGATCCCTGGGGCTCAACTGCAGGCATGAAAGAGCTCTTTTGAGATAGAAGCAACATTGTGTGTGATGTAATTTACTGAAGGAGGGAAGGGAGGGGGGAGCAGATAGCCACACATCCTGCTTTTGTACATAGACGGGGTGCCCCCATTTTGGCCACTAACTGCTTTCTGGAAGTGTTCCAGACGGCTCGAAAGCTTAGCAGACGGCGCCGCTGACGCCATAGTGTAAATTGAGTCAGTTTGCAGAAGATTTCTGTTGTGTTGCTCGCGATGTGTCGTGTCTGGCGTTCAAGTTCATGACTGGTTGGGCGATCTTATCTCGTTTTGCTATCTGGCCTTTGACCTCCGGGACAAACTGTGATTACGGAGAATTCATGGAGAGTGAGGGGCGGCTTTTGGAGAGAGCCGAGATTCTTGGGAAAGCTTGGGGTAGGGGTTTTGAAAACATGTTGAATTGCTGTCGTTTCCGGATCTTGTTTATCTCAGGCCAGTGGAAACGGCGTACTGCCAGCGTCACTGGTGTTTTCCAGGTCTTTTACGCAGGGAAACCTTCGAGTGTTATTTTAATTATTTCGAAACCTTATGATGGGATGTCAAAGTAAAATATGATTTGTACCACTGGTGTTTCTTTCCAGTCCAACTTTAGGCTAAGCATTTTTTTTGTACTTCCTCTGATTTTACGGTGATGTCGAAATAGCTCGGTAGCTTGCATGCTAGGTAAAGTTTGCACATAACATAACAAAATATGTTTTTTAACAGACTTCCTCTTGTGTCGACAGCAGTACATCTGTAGTGATTACACTGCAAGCCCGTGTAACCTCTCAGTGCCCCAATCTGTGATTGAAATGTCCATGTTTAATTGTTTGAACAATTATACCGACATTGGTGCCCACCGCTTGTGTTACGAGGTGATTCATTAAAACGCCACTGACTATCATATCAAGCAGACTCTGTGTGTGTCTTTACCACCCTATTTATATATTTTATTATGTTCAATATTTTGCACGATAACAGACAGGGGTTTCCACTGTGAGACCGCTCGATTTATTACATATGAGGAATCTTCCCTTTTCACATGGAACCCGTGTTAACTTTTGGTTTTGAAACTATGTTGCTGATACGTAGCAGGTCATGAGGCACTGCCAGCTTTCTGGTTCGTCGGTTCGAACTTTATGAAATCCAATTATTGACCTCATATACTGTGTGCACATTGAGCTCACAGAACGAAACAGCTACTTTCAGCCGCGATTAACCAACAGGGCTCAGGATAGGCTAGCGAAAATACTTTAAAGAAAAAAAAACACACACCCTGTGCTGGTAATTGTGTGACGCTGCTGTACATCCTTTCTATTGGAGAAATTGCACCTCCGTTCTGAACGATTTTGCATTTAACTTTCTCTATGGGTTACATTTCTCAAATGGTTCTGTCCCACGAGTCCGACAGCACAGAATTTTCCTCTTGGTCGTGCAAAACAAAATCAGTATAGAGCAGGGGTGGCCATGCCGACCAGGCCTAAGAGCCGCAAACGAAACCACGAAACTTCTAAGAGCCACGAGGGGGCGGGGGGGGGGGGGGGGGGGGGCAAGTTTAAATTTTGTTTAGAATCTGACTGTACGTATGAGTGCACAAAGCTGTACGACAGTACGTATGGAGGTACAAGGCTGCCAAACCGCGAGCCGTACTTCATTCTGCCTGAAATCCCTTCCTTTTTTCCTGGGGAAATGCGGGAAGGGGGGAGGGGGGGGGGGGTGGGGGGGGGTCCCCTTACGAGGGATCCGCGAGCCACACTCCGACCAGCAAAGAGCCGCATGCGGCTCGCGAGCGGCGGTTTGGCCACCCCTGGTATAGAGACTGCATTCACTTTTTCTTTCCCGGCATTCGTGATTCAGCTGTTTTTGTAGCTATATTTGTGAAGGCCTAATCTTTCTGGTCGCCAAGCAAGCAATCTACTCCATTTACAGACATAAAACTAGACAGCCTTCTGTCTATCAGAACGATCTTGTGCAGTACTGCTTGTTAACGAACCTGTTCAATTTGTCGTCGGTTGATGTTCCAGCGCCAAATTGTTTATTATTTTCGCCTGCCAGGGGTATTGTACTAAGAGGCTAACTACAAGCTATGGCTAGCACCATTTATCGGGATAACAGTCGCAAAAAGTGGAGGAACGTCATTTGTCAAATTCTGGTTGGGCGTGTTCGCGAAGGCATCTTCTAGCCAACCAGAAGTCGGGATATAATCGTCTAGTGTTGGCAGGAGCGAACAAAAAAAAGAACACTTATGGCCTCCGAGTTTCCTGGTCAGCGATCCCGGTGACATGAAGCTCCAGTCGGTCAGTTCCGATCACGACCGTTATCAGCAGTGCAGTCAAAGCTTCCTTAAGCTTCCTGCATGCCGTCATGGCTCGACTATTAATTTCAAAAGCTGTCTCTTTTATACGGTCTAAGACCTTCTCACGCCATTGTTCCCTTGCTTTAGAATATGAAATACGAAGAATGGAACGTTTGGGTCAAATTTAGTTCACAGTATGACCGCAAGGGGAATATGTGATGACGCTGCCGCAGCTGTGGACACGCGCTGTGTCCTTCCATTGACTGCATTTTCTACACACCGCTCTGAGTACGCAAAGCCACAGACATGGCTTACGTCGCCCTCTGGGGTTCCAACCTATTGTTTACGTGTGCATCTATGACATCAGTCTGGTACCGCTCGATCTGTCACTGGTTGACGTTTTCTGTTCTCGGGTAACGGTTGGTCTCGCCAAGTGTTTGTTGCCCGCAGACCCAACGTGGGCCTGACAAGAGCTACTTGTTCGATGCCGCCCGAAAGACAGATATCTCGTTGTTTGTCGTTGAGGATTTTGCCGCTGTGTCGACCATGAGTGAGTGTGTGCAGTGTTTGTGACGTTTTTCCGACATCCAAACGACGCTGCCAGTTCGTCCTCGTCGTTCGTTTCGTTTTTTTTTTTTTTTTTTTTTTTCAGATAAAACTTTTTTAGGTGTTTTCCTTACTGCTTTGCAATAAATACGATATGAGAAACGCCAATGACTGACGGTATCCGTTAACATTTTCGTTTAGACGAGCTACGATGACGGCTACGGTAACGAACGCTGTAGTGTTTTAGAGTTCAGGGAAAAGCTCCTCCCACCTCTCTCCACTTTAGCAGAGAGAACGCTGGAGAGAAGGCGACCTCCTCTCCAGCGTTCGCTCTGCTAAAGTGGAAATAGGTGGGAGGAGCTTCCCCCGAACTCTTAACCCTGTCACCGACTGTAGAGCGCAAACGAAGTGATACCCGAAACTAATCCGGGAACCGCATTGGGATGTATGTGACGTCAGCTGCACGCGCATAGGTGAAGGTGACCAACAGTCCAGGTGGGACAGGAGACTCGTCTCTGCTTGCCCCTAAACGTTTCACGGTAAAATGAGATCTCTGACGGAGGGAAACAAAAAGTCCGTTCTCGTGTCTTTTTTTTTTTATCTGGATTTTGCGCACGCGCTCTGCACACACCTGGTCTGGGCAAACACTGACTTGTTTGTAAATAGTGCGTTAGTCTATATGCTGGAGATTCCGCACCCATTAGCGATTTTATTTTCGTTTTATAGTGTAGCTGCGTGCAGCACTGTATCATCTCGACTCTCGCCACAGTTCATTGGCAAAATGAGGCGAGGAACCGGGAATTTGTGCTTCCTTTAAGAAGCAACGAAAGAGCCTGACACAATGTTCCCTGACCCGGGCCGTAAGTGCCGAGTCGCGCGTATCAACACCTCTGCCGCCATCGTCGCTTGTGAACACAAGTCGCTCCGTGAACGTCTGACAGACTCAGCCGTCGTAGTATATTCCTCTCGCTTTATGCTCCGATTATACGCTGTACGAGAGCCGAGGCATTTGGTAAGAGCGTTTCTCACCGCTATGCCTGCCGCAATCGGGCGGTTTTAAACGGCTCTTAGGAGGTCGTCCGCCTCAAGTGCACATCAATGGCCTGCCGGGCTCGCACAATGGATGCACTGTGGAGGCAGGAAAAGGACAATTGTGCGCTCGCGGGGCTGGGCGCGGCGTTATGCAACGCTGAATGCGACCTCTTCATTGGAGTGACCCAGCCAATGAAAGCCTCTGAATGAAGGAAGCAAGGCCACAATGGGTAACCTTGATTCGACGCGATTGCCGGCGAGTCATTCACTCTGTTGTTGCGTTTTCTTTTCGCACGCCCTTCGCGACCCGCGTGGGCGCTCGAAAGGGAACGCTCCGTCCCTTGATTGGCTCTTTGGCAAAGCGGAAGTGACGTGCCCTCTCATCTCCGCAAAGCAACGGGAGTTCCTGGGAGAGAAAGGGGACGCCCTAAGGTCCGAAGTGAGTTCCGAGAACCTGCGATTGGGACATTACTCCGTCTCACCGGGAAGTATAGGGGCGCTCCACTGGCGGAAGACCTGGCGTTCGACAGTGAGACGCGTTAAGGAGCCTGCGGCACCTTTTCGCGTGCGAAGATGTGGCGGTGGAAGCGCGCATGGACGTAACTTTGACTCTTTGAGTTGATACGTTATTAACGGTGACGTTGCCTGGGGTCCGGGGCAGACCTAAGAAGCTCATCTTGCTGTTCTCCCAAGTAGGTCGATGCAGAAAGGGAAAAACACTCTCGAACCAGAGCGCTGCGTCAACGCTCCGCTTACCCTTTCCCTCAAAAGCTCGTCTGCTTCACGGAGTGGACTGTTAGAAAGCACGTGCGCAGTGTACGGAGGCAAGTTGCTTCGACAATGTTAGGCGCCGCTTTGATATTGTAGCGTGTTTTCGCGCGTGACATGGCCTATGCAAGAGAAGAATCGACCGGGCAGCACTGTGCTGTAATTGTTTGCAAAAATAATAATAAAAAAAAAAAGTAAAATAAACGCCGATTCAGTGTGCGAGACCCACGCTGTCAAACAGGATGAATGTGGGTGCGGCATGTTTCTGCTGCACCGGTTCCCCGCTGCTCCAGACCTGCGACGCCGGTGGCTGGCGAATTTAAACAGGAAAAACTTCTTGCCATCGAAGGGCAGTCGTGTGTGCTCCGACCATTTCTTGGACGGCCGGCGAACTGCGGAGAACCCCGTGCCGTTCCTTCGCCTGGGCTACGGCCGAAAGGTACGCGGAGGGCGGCTTAGACATTGAAAAAAGAAAACAGTTGCGTGACTCCTGGTCTACTGAGTTAATAGTACACGCCACGACATAGTTTGCGCACAAATAATTCTCACGCGAGGCGATAACAGAGAGGCACATCAATGTGCCAATATTTTGACAGTGGATTCCAAATCAGAAAAAAAAACCGGATCCGTCGCACTTGTTATCTGTACTCGGTATTTATATATCGATTCATATTTAAATTTGAGGTTTCTACTATTTCAATCAAAGCAGACGTGACAACGCAGGTCTGAACCGCTAACCGCGCAGTTAGTTCCAATGTTCCCGGTGCCCCCAAGTTGCGAGAACTCGAGTTTAGCGCAAATTCACATGCCGTAATTCGTGCCATCCTGGCTTCGTTCAATCCTCAATTTCACTAGCGATCGTCAATTTCGCTAGCGATCGAAACGCCGAGTTCGGGTTGGGAGCGACGACTGCCCCAGAACCGCGCTAAAAATTACCCACAAAAAGATGCCAGGAAGGCGGGATGCACTTTTCCCCATGCCTGATATACAAATTAGGATAGTGCTTTCCTCCATGGACGAAGACGATGAGCCGAGGACGCCGAATACGACAGCCGTGCCGGCAGAAGCAGCTGCGATCGGTGTGACTCGATGAGCAGGGTAACAGTCCAGTAATGGCGGTCGGTCATTCGGGCGGGTTCAGATTCTCCCAAATGCCCGGATGAGGATAGGCGGCGCTACACTCGTTAAAATGGCGCCGGCTAGGAAGCCCAGCTTCGAGCGATGTACATATTCCAGGAAATAAATGTACCACCGTGTATCAATG